TTAGAGTAGTATATATTAAGTTTTCTCTTAATGTGTTTATTCGTTGTATATGTGTGGTGTACAATAAAGTATATACTACTACTACTACTACATCTGGACGTTGAACATCTCAGTCCTTCCCGTGACCATGGGTGCTGTAAAGCTCTCGAAACGTCGGGTATTTAAAAAAGTTAAATATACGCGATAAATTCCGTAAAAACTAGTATTATTTCAATGTGTAGTGTTCGCGTAAATATAAGAAATCATTATGCAGATGCGTAATCATTTTTATGTCACAGATAAAATGTCTCGTTGCTAGTAAAAATATATTATTTTCTATTAATCATTATCATCACATAAAGTTTCACAATGTTAATTAATATTTAAAAAATGTTCCGCAGGTTCTAAACATTTTGCTGTTGAACAGTTTATATGAAGTGAGAGAAATAAAAATTCCCTAGAGTGCAACAATATAATATTCGACTTTATTAGCTTTTGATTCTATTTGGATTAAGATTATCAACAACATCCACAATGAAACCAAAATTTATAGCAGTATCGACAACATCGAGTGAGACAAAAATATTATCCATTGGAGTTTTTTAACTGAAAATCCTTCAAAAGTGCCTCCGCATGTGTTAAGAATGAAAATAGCTTCAATTGTATGCTGCATCCTAAAATAAATATAATAAAAATATTTATCATCCGGTAATATGTTCTTAAATGCTGCAATCCTTACTGATGATCATGCTCTTATAACACGTGTTTATTCCTTGGAATAATCTATTTCCAAGCCCAGGTGAGGTCTCTTTCTTCTGGCTGATAAGGCAACAATTACGTATTAAGCTATTGGTTTTCATAACAATCAACAAAACCAAGGGATCACAACATCTTTGACATAATCAGAATTCATCTTCCAGCTGCAGCTTTTGGACATGGTAAAATTTATGTCGAATTTTCTCAAGTCACTTTGTAAACGTCAAAATCTCAGGTGTCATGGAAACGATGCTGCCACACTCAGTCTTCAGATTTGACAGTTGGCTCTTTCTGGCAGACAGATCTCTGGCAAAGACTTTGGAGCCCTGGTTTCGCTCGATTGCTTCTTTAATACGAGCAGTATTAAAGTTGCGTAAGTCTCGCCGCATGCATTTGGAGATCTGTCTGTTCAGTTGCCTGCATGCTGTCAAATCTGTTGACATCATCTCCCGTTTAACAGCCATGAGATTAAGAGTGTGATCGGAGAGTTTTTGTGTTCTTCTGCGGCGAGTCTTGCAGAACTTTGCTCCGATCGCATGGACAGTTTCTACGAGCTTGTCATTCATATCGTCCACTGCATAGTAATCTTCTAGGCACTGAAAGCGGTTACGTAACTCGAGCTAAAAAGTCTCGGGATTCTGGATTAGAGCACGAGGGGGACGGAGCGTTGAATCCATCAGACGAGACCTCTCCAACTTAACGTTTAGGTTCAGTGTGGCTCTAACCATTCGGTGATCGCTGCCGGTTTTCACCCTTGCGATCACTGACACATCACTGAACAGTTGGCGTCATAATGAAGTCAATCTCACTTTTTGTCGAACCGTCGGGGCTCGACCAGGTACACCTCCTGTGGGGCCGCTTCTGGAAGAAATAGTTCATCGTAAAGAGTCCCTCTTTCTCCATAAAGTCAGCCAGCTGCTGGCCATACGGTTCCGTTGCCCTACTCCAAATTTCCCTAACTTCAGCTCACCGCCTTCTCTTGTGCCTAATTTTGCGTTGAAGTCTCGCATCGACACCGTGTAGTGGGTTTTGGAGGAATGCATGGCTCTAGAAATATACTCTCTCTAGAAATATATTACATTTAAGATACAGGCTTTGCCTAGTTTAGATGTCAGTAGCTTCATATAAATTGTAGAAGTACTTAACTGTAAGCTTCATTTTGTTATACTGTTGTTATCGAGTGTACTTTAACTTAAAGATGCAATAAAGATTATTATTATTATTTTTGGGGTATCTGTATAGTTTTCTCATCTGGTTGGTTTCTATAAATATATAATTATAAATTAAAATGAAAAGATAAATATACATAAATATCAATAAAATAAAATAAATACAAAAAATACACAAATAAATAAAGATCCAACCAGATGGAAGCCCTCGGCAGGGGAGACCAAACGGCCGAGGGTTAGGGGGAAAGGGAAAGAAACCGACGGACGATGCGGGCGGTATCGAGGAGCACTGCCTTCTGCATTTGAGCCCGGAGCGGTCCGTCACGGAGTCCCAGTCGCCTCAGATGACCCGAGAGGCTGACTGGGATTAGCCCGTTTGCAGAGACGACTACAGGAATAATTTCGGTCGGCAGACCACCCCACATGTCGGTCACCTCGTGAGCCAGGTCCAGATATTTTGTTTGCTTATCTGTTTCGGCTTTCACGAGGTTCTCGTCATACGGAATGGTAATGTCGACCAAAAATATCCTTGACTGTGCCCGGTCCATCAGCACAATATCAGGCTTATTTGCAAGAATAGTCCTGTCTGTGATGATGGCCCGGTCCCAGTAGAGCCTGGCGCGGTCATTTTCGAGCACGGCTTCCGGCAAGTACTTGTAATACGGCAATTTCCGGTCCACGAGACCGTATTTCAGAGCGAGCGCCTGGTGTAGAATTCTGGCTACTAGGTTGTACCTGTGCAAGTACTCAGAGTTAGAAAGCGCCGAACAACCGGAGATGACATGTCTAAGTGACTCCCCGGGATGGCGACAAGCTCGACAGACGTCGACGGTGCCATCCTTTAGGATGTATCTCCGATAGTTGTTGGTCTTAATAACCTGATCCTGTGTTGCACAGACAAAACCCTCGGTTTCCCCGAAGAGGTCACCGAAACGTAGCCAGTTGAGGGAGGCGACTGTATCTACGAAGGGCTCATGTAGAACCCTGTAGTACCTCCCGTGGAGCTCCTTCTCCTTCCATACGGTCTCCCGGTCGGAAATGCTAAGCACTGCTGGGTCCTGCCATTGCTCGTTGGCCAAGGATAGAGGGGTAAGCCCTTTATCACTAGAAATGACGTCATTATAGAATGGATCATCCGATCTCGCCAGGAAGTAATGACGGAGGCTGCATACTTCACGATTATGCATAGTGAGCGCGCTTAGAAAGCCACGCCCACCATGCTTTCGCGGCAAGTACAGCCTCATTACCGACGATCTCGGATGATGCATCCTATGGGACGTCATGGTAGTGCGGACTTTTCTATCCAGGGCGTTAAGTTCAGTCTGAGTCCACCTGAGTATGCCAAAGGTATACATAAGGACAGGCATGACCCAACCGTTATATGCGTGTGTCTTATTCACACCGGACAAAAAGGCTATTAAGCACTTTGGTCAAGCGTGCATAAAACACGTCGCAAACTGACTGTTTCACACCAGCCTCATCGATACCGATGTTCTGTGACATACCCAGGTATCGGTATGTTTCAGCCTCGGAAAGGGTCCTTAAGTTGACGGGCATAGATAAATCTATGCCCTCAGAGTTAGCAACCCTTCCCCTCTCAACATGGAGGACCGCACACTTATCCGTCCCCAGCTCCATTCCAATGGAACTGCTAAACTCACAAGTGATTTTTAGCAATTCCACAAGATGGGAGCGACTGGAGGCGAATAACTTGAGGTCATCCATATAAAAAAAGGTGGGTCACTTTTGTCCCTCCTTTCCGTAGCTGAAATCCTCTCCCGGATCCCTCCAGTAAGGTACTGAGAGGGTTCAGGGAGAGGCAGAACCAGATTGGACTCAGACAATCGCCCTGGAAGATACCCCTTCTTATCCTTATGTGGTTCTCCGCAGCCATCATCCGCTCACCCAGATGACAAAGGATCGTACTCCACTGCCCCATACACTGCTCGAGGAAGTCTCTCACTGTACAGTCTATCTTGTACAGCTCGAGGACTCTCTTTAGCCATGTATGGGGCACCGAGTCGAATGCCTTTCTGTAGTCTATCCAGGCGGCGGAGAAGTTCCGACGGTTGCGTTTCACCACTTTGCCAATGACCGCGTCAATGAGGAGTGGTTCCTTAGTTCCACGACCACCGCCCCGACATCCATTTTGAGCGCGTGACATCACCTGATTTAGCTCCAGGTGACGAGTGATTCTCGCGCTCAAAATGGATGTCAGTGTCTTATATATGGTGGGTAGACACGTAATGGGGCGGTATTTGCTCGGGTCTGTGGTAACCTGGTCTTTAGGAACCAAATGAGTGATCCCAGTAGTGAAGAGGCTAGGGAGCGACTTCTGGTTGAGAGCCTCTTGAAACTGACGGGCGAGCACAGCGTGACACACCATGAACCCCTTCAGCCAGTAGTGATGCAGTCCGTCGAGTCCCGGACTTTTCCAGTTCGGGGCTCTACGGACCGCCTCAGCTACGTCATCCGGCGTTATGATGACGGGGTCCATGGGCGTAATACTCGCACACTGACTCGCCACAACTTCCGTCCAAGGGCCCTCGCTGTGGTTTACGGGCTCTGACCACAGGCCACGCCAAAATGCGACAGTGTTAGCCTGATCCGGTCCTGGGCCCGCTCCACATACCTCTGGTCGCTCCAATGATTTGTAGAGCCTCTTCTGATCACTCTGGAAGAGACGATTCTGGTTGAACCGCCTTGACCTCTCGGTAAATCGGCGAATCCGCTTCCCCCCAAGCGGCAATCTTTTGCTTCAGGTCGTCTATGCGCTCCGTTAGTTTCTGCGTGATATCCGGCTGGGACAAACTGATGTTTGTCCCAGCAAACGCCATTCTAACGGTGCGCACAACCCTCGGTCTATTATTACCCGACCTGAAGCTTATCAGTCTGCCGATAAGGGCCCTTGCCTTTGCGATACGGTCCTCAATTCTTTTTCTCCAGGCTGGGATGGCGCTACTTTGTTTAGTAGCGCGTCCAGCCATGGGAAGTTTGGCGCCAATAATACGGCAAGCTGCCACTGCGGCGCCAAAAAGAACTGAGTCCGTCTCGCAAAGGTCCCGGCTGGCTTCCAAATAGGTTACCAGCATTGGGTTAAGAGCCCTCACGACAGCCCGATTTCGCTTGCTTAGGGGTATGCGGGGGAAGTCGCGGTCGATTTTCGAGAGGCATGCTGCGCGTTTCTAAAATCGCCTCTTCCAATATACTCCTCATTTGCTCTAGTTCGTGGGAGACCATTTCATCATCGTCTGAATCACCCACAACTGGAAGATCCATGGCGGCTTCTACTCGTGGCAGCTGGTCTGTCGCCTGAGGAGCCTCATCCCCAGCCGTAGCCAATTCATTCGATGAGGGAATGGCCTCACGTCGTAGTCGTTCGAGCTCGGCATCATCGAATATTTTCGAGCGCATGATGTACCGAACTCGGTCTGCCAGGTTTTGTTCCGTGACGGGAATAGACGGCTCCAGCTCAGCAAAAAAGCAATGCATCCGAGCCCGATACGCTATCCCCGCAGTTTCTTCCCCTTTCGCCCTATAGTACGCCCGCATTGCGTTTGCGTTCATATCCCTTGTCCAACGCATGCGGCGCACTCCACCAGCGGCGGATGCCGCTTGCCGAGTCCGAGAGGACCCTGCCGACATCAAGCCGTCTGGTGGGGATGATGGATGCGGGGGGCTGTTAGGTGATCTTGCAGCTCCTCGCGCTCGGCTGGCGGCCCGCATGCTGCCGCGTCCAGCGCCAGCTCCAGACGCGCCCCGGCGACCCCCAGGCAGCGGCCCTATACGTTTTCCAATCTTATCCATCATCCATTTTTGGGCGCCAATTAGCGGGAGACGCCCAGGCCCGGCACCGTTTTATTGTATCATTGTATGGCCATAAGCACAAACGGGCCTTTGCACCCTGAGTACTGCCGAGGCACGGCGCTCACACCTCTTGGCAAGGCGCTGACTGACTGCACCGACGTAGCAGTTTTGTCACTTAACTGTTTCGTCAGCGGGCGATGGGGTCGTCACTTCCCTACGCCTTTTTATTATTATTATTATTATTATTATTATTTTTATTATTATTATTATTATTATTATTATTATTATCCTCATACATTTCCTCCACCTCCTCATTGGAATGTGTAGAGGTTGGTGCGTAGTAGAGTATCAGGTACGCAACCCTCGTCGACACACTCCCAATCCTTACAACGTTGTTGACGAGAGACTTGTGGACAATAAATCCGACACCTCCTTGGGACAGATGGTCGCCCTCCCGGTGATAGAACAAGTTGCCGGACTTGAGGATTACCATGTCCTCCCCCTCTCTTTGGACCTCAGATAATCCAATAATATGCCAGCGCAACTTGTCTACCTCTTCTTCCAGCTCCAGTATCTTCTCGTCAGTCCTCAGGGTGCGTGCATTATACGTTGCCAGGTCGAGTCGTCGTAGGTGGCAACCGAACCTCCACCGGAGATTCTTAGCATCCCCTGCCCCGCCGTTACCATGGTCGCCACGGTAGCCAGGAATAGTGGGGCCGCCGGGGATTGGGGGCCGTTTATTTGCGTTGTTGCTCATGGGGGGATATTTGGCATAGTTGTCACGCTTGGCGAGCGGGTTGGCAACCGCAGTTTTTTATTATGTTATTGTTGTTATTAGGAAGATGCTGCTGCCCATCTCCTTTCTGTGTCCCTCTGTCACCTTTTACGACACCCACGGGAAGATATGGGGTAGTGGATATTCTCAACCGCCACTACACGGCCATAAGTAAGACAGGGTGTCGTTATATCCCCGAAACTCTTCATCGCTGCGTTGGAAGACGTTTTCAAGCTACTGGACTGGAAAGGATACGTTATTAACATCAATGGCGAGTACATCAATCACCTTCGATTTGCCGACGATATATTCCTTAAGGCAGAATCGCTGGAGGACCTTAGCACCATGCTCAATGACCTCGATGGTGTCTCCCTACGGATAGGTCTTAATATGAACATGGACAAAACAAAGATCATGTTTAATGTCCATGTCACACCTATGCCGGTAGTTGTTGGGAGCACTATGCTCGAATTTGTTGACGAGTACGTTTACTTGGGACAAATAGTCCGACTAGGTAAGTCCAACTTCGACCGAGAGGTCAATCGACGGATTCAACTCGGCTGGGCAGTGTTCGGGAAATTACGACACATCTTCTCGTCAGGTATACCTCAATCTCTGAAAACTAAAGTGTACATACAACCAGTACGTGTTGCTAGTGATGACTTACGGATCTGAGACGTGGTCCTTCACTGCTGGCCGTATGAGGACGCTCAAGGTCGCTCAGCGAGCTATGGAGAGGGCTATGCTTGGAGTTTCTCTGCGTGATAGACTCAGAAATGAGGATATCCGCAGTAAAACCAGAGTGACCGACATAGCCCAACGGATTAGTAAGCTGAAGTGGCAATGGGCCGGCCATATAGCTCGAAGAACCGATAACCGATGGGGAAGAAAGGTTCTCGAGTGGCAGCCTCGTACCGGTAGGCGTAGTGTAGGGCGACCCCCCACTAGGTGGAGTGACGACCTGGTAAGACATGCAGGAAGTCGATGGATGCAGGTGGCTCAGGACCGTGCTCTGTGGCGTTACTTGGGGGATGCCTATGTTCAGCAGTGGACTTGTGAAGGGCTGTAATGATAATGATGATCCGTGAATCACGAATGGCTTAGCTTCCAAGTATGTACTTAAAATGTTGTATATTGTGTAGTTCTACAGGTGATTCTCTCTTATGCACAGTCTAGTTTTAGGAAGGTTACATGGATAGTAGGTTAAAAAGACTTAAGCCTTTATATATTAACGCTTATCTAATTCGTGTGTTTACGCGGCTAAAGGAAAAAAAGCTAATAAGGCCAGAGCAGGTTACACAAAAACTCAGAAAACATTCTATTCTATCACATCAAGAACAGCAATCAATATAGATAGAGCATTATTTACATTGTCAGAATTAATTGATTCTCGTTTGAGATTGAAACTTTAAGAGGTATCATCAGCAAATTATAATACGTGGTGATTGTCCCCTACGAGATAAGGTAAGTAATTAATATAGCTTAAGAACAGGAAAGGCCTAAGAATCGAGCCCTGAGGAACGATCATTGATACTACTACGACACTGATAACGAATTTTTGAGTTCTGTTATTTAAATACGATATTATAAGACTAAGTGCAATATCTGATATATTGAAGTTTCCTGTTTAATATTTCATGATAAACACAATCGAAAGACTTGGAAAGATCACAAAAAATACCTAAGACATGATTATCCCAGGCAAAGAAAAAATATTTTATAAGCCCAACACCTGCGGCAGTCGTTAAGTGACCCCTTGTAAAACCAAATTAATTTATAGGAAGTATTTTTTTAAATTAACAATTGATCTAAAATAATTTTTCAAATATTTTACGGAGAGTTGGTAGTACAGAAATAAGTCTAAAATTACAGGGTCCAATGTACTACTAATGGGTTTTCAACAAGAACTTTGTTTTTCAATTGGGGCAACACCAACAACATGACAGTTTTGACATTTAGTTTTTTGACCTATTCGTTGTAGATGCTTTGGCAATTGCTACAATGAATTCAATTTCGCTCGAAAATCGCATTAAAATAATTAAAATCCACTATGAAAATGGTGGTTCTGTTAAAGTTACGTTTCGTAAAATTCGTGATATTTTCGGACAACATAATCGTCCTTCTGAGACCACTATTAAGAATTTGGTCGCTAAATTTGAATCGACAGGCTCGGTACAAAATGTGCCAACACCAACGCGTGTTCGACCGGGTCGTTCAACCGAAAACATTGCAGCCGTGAGCCACAGTGTTGAAGAAGATCCAAATTTGTCAATTCCTCGACGTTCTCAACAATTGGGGTTATCCAAAACCACCACATGGCGAATTTTGCGGAAGGATTTGGCTTTAAAGCCTTACAAGGTTCAACTGGTGCAGGAATTGAAGCTGACCGATCATTCACATCGCCGTAGATTCGCTCAATTCATTCAGAAACAGCCCGCTGGTTTTTCTGAAAAAATTATATTTTCAGACGAAGCCCATTTTCATTTGTCAGGGTTCGTCAACAAGCTAAATTGCCGCATTTGGGCTTCTGAATATCTTAAAGCGATTATTGAGGAGCCTTTGCATGCTCAACGTATCACTGTATGGTGCGTTATGTGGTCTGGAGGCGTTATTGGGCCGTTTTTTTTTTCGAAGATGAGGCTGGAAATGCGGTAACGGTCAATGGATCACGCTATCGCGAGATGTTAACTTAATTTTGGCCTATTATTGATGACATCGATATCAAAAACATGTGGTTTCAACAGGACAGTGCCACATGTCACACAGCCAACGAAACGATCAATTTATTTCAAAACAAATTTCCCGATCGCATATTTTCACGAAATTCAGCTGTTAAATGGCCAGTCAGATCGTGTGATTTCACACCACTGGATTATTTTTTGTGGGGCTATGTTAAGGACAGAGTCTATACGGAGGCAATCGAATCGATCGTGGCCTTAAAACTCAAAATCCGTGACGTGATTAACGAAATAGACCCGCCAAAAAGTGATTAAAAATTTTGATGAAAGAATCGACATCTGTCAGCGTGGTCGTGGTGGACATTTGCCAGATATCATTTTTCATTCATAATTGCCAAACTTTTCTCTTCGTAATACAATAAAAATTTGAATCATCTTCATTTAAACTCTTTGTTTTATTTTGTTTTAGAAAACAAAGTTCTTGTTGAAAAACCCGTTATATATAAATAAAGGTATTACTTTACAATGTTTCATTAAATCAGGAAACTCACCAGATTCGATACTAGTATTAAAAATAATAGCAAGGTGACGTGCAATTAAATCTATTATGGAATATAATATACTATATACAAAAAATATAATTCAATATATTATGTCTTTAAGTTACATAAATGAATACCTACACATCACGAATTAATAATTATGGTGCGAATGATAGTGCTCTTTAACAAGTCTTTTAAACATAGACACCGACTTAACGGCAGGAATCCTAAAAGAAGTGAATTCCAGAATCGTACTGCGTTAACAGTAAAAGAATGAGAATAGAGAACTTGTATTGAAAGACGGAAATCTTAACTGTGTTCTAGTATTTGATCTACATGGAATATCTGGAGGATAAACAAAAGTAAAACATTTATTTAAATATAGAGGAGTATCAGGATTATGTAGAAAATTACAAAGAAGACAGAGGGTTCGAGTGTTCCGGTGAAGGCAGAAGGGGAGCCATTTAAGCTGCTTGCGATAAACAGAGACGTGATTGAACTTCTTTAAGCCAAAAATGTATCGAGTACATAAATTTTGCAAGTACTCGAGTTTATTAATTTGCTCCTCGGTAGCATTCAAATAGCATACATCAGCGTAATCTAAAATTGGCAAAATAAGGGTCTGGACTATAGATATCTTAATAGACAAAGGTAGAAATTTTGAAGGTGTTTTAGAGAATGAAAGGCGTGAAATATTTTCCTGCTTACATCCGTAACATGTGCGCCCCAAGTCAAATTGCAGTCAAAAAT